CGTTGACTTAACCCCAGCGCCCAGTTAGCCTGGTGTAAGAAAGCGGGAAGCGGCGCAAGTTGAACCCTATGATGAAGTAATGCTGTTGGCGTAAGGGTTCCGGGCGCTTCGAGGAAAGCATTCTTTAATTTTTCGATGCTACTCGTATATGCAAGTTACCTATGTGCTCAACCCATGCCACCCTGCGAGTACCACGCCTTCTGCATCGATGAGTGGCTGGCCCGCAGTGTGGCGCGCAACTGCCCCTCCTGTTTGCATTGTGTCGATTATGTCGACCATGACGAAGACGCTGACGATATCGAGCTGGTCAGCCTTTAAGTTGCTGCTTTCCGACATGCGCCCTCTTGGCGGTGGCCGGTAGCTGTTGAATTGGTGCCTGATTTTCCCAGACACACCGGTGTGCCCAAGGCATCCCATTCCTGCATTCACGCACCCAAAGGGTAGCAGAAATGCGCCAAAGTGTCCTCTGTGGCCCCGACTTGCAAAAATGCTGATCGTAACGCCTAGTGCATCTTTGTGTCATTAGTTGATGAAGCTTGAGGCTAGAAGTTAGAGGCGACCTTGAAAGCATTCCCAAGCACATAGGCCATTGCAGTCACTCATTTTTGGGATTCTATACGTGCTTTCTTTTGTGAAGCAACCGAGCACCAAGGTTCATGCCCGGTGGCTCCCTGCACCATCTCCTGCACAAGGCCTGTGCTGCATCTGGTGATGTGGGGGGTGCGGTCATCACGTGACCACTGGGGCAGGTAGGAAATGTTGGGCACTAAGGCGCGTACTCCTTTGACTTTGGGCACGCAGTCCAAGATGGCAATCCAGGCTTGCAAGTTTGATTCAGATGGGCTTCATGTTGCTAGGCCTGCGCTCTGCAGGGAGCTTGCCCAGGTGTGTGAGGGAGTAGACTTCCTTCACGGTCACTCACCGCCGGTTGTGCACCGAGACCTGAAATCGTGCCGGACTGAGCTTGCAGAGTCAAACAAAGCTAAGGGATGCTAAGGGCTTGAGCGCCACTATAGCGAGGATAAAACAATTCCGGTCAGAGATACGTATTATTACACCCAAGACAAACCAGTGATGAATGTGTACAGTCTGGGATATTCTAGGTTTCCAGAACGTGACTTTCCACTAACCGTAAAGATCCTCCCCCTCCTAAGCATTTTTTGCTTGCAGATCTCTCAGTCTCATTGCGGGACGAGAGTCACGTCCCATAATCAATAAGCGTGCATCGTTTAAGATAGGTGCATAATTTTGACCCCTTGGACGAGATGTCTTTGTCAGACGTGTGGAGGAACATGAAGATGGCCGTCCCAAATGCTGCTTGTATTTTCCTGGCTGTTGCTGTTTCTCTTGCTGGAACTCTAGCAGCAGCAGTACCAGCAGCAGCAGGTGTTGCTTTTGCTGTTGCTGGTGCTGCTGTGTTGCTGCTGCTGCTGCTGCTGCTGCTGCTGTGGCAGTGGTACCGGGAGGCCGTAGTCAGCAGTCATGGAACACATGGACGTCGTGGTCGTCGTTCTCCTTGGTACATGCAGGTCGCGAGCGGTGGTCGGTGTTGTTCATTATTTTCTTGGCTTTGTCATGTCACATTTGTTGTTGGTGCGCGTCTTGGTTTCGGTCTTCTGTTCAAGTGGTCTGCTTGCACTGAAATCCGAGCACTTGATTAATTTGGGGGGGCCCGACCCCCCCCCCCGGAATAAGAAATGAGGGGCGCCAGACTAAAGGAAAATCCTTCTTCGGTCATTGGGGCTCCTGGACCTCATTTAAAAGTGCATAGGAATATATTGCTAAGCCAACATTTCGCGCGTCGTGGGTTTATCGGAGAAAGCGAGAAAAGTGCAAAAAACGAGAAAAACAACAAAACAAAAAAACAAGAAAAGCGCAAAAAACAAAAACCGAGAAACGCGAGAAAAACGAACGTTTTTTCGCGTTTTTCGCGTTTTTCGGATTTTTTCGCGTTTTTCGCGTTTTTCGTGGTTTTCGCGTTTTTTCCACTCTTTTTCACATTGTTCGTGCCTTTCGCGGGTTTTTCGCGTTTTTGGCATTTTTCGCGATGTGTGCTTTTTTGGCGGTTTTCGCCGTTTTTCACATTTTTCGCGTTTTCGCGTTTTTCGTGTTTTTCTCGCTTCCTCCGCTTAAACCGAGACAACGGTTCAACTCATATTGAATTCGATAGAATATGTAGATATTAAATATTATATCCTGAATATATATATATGTAATATATATATATATGCCATATATTCTATATTTATATCAAATATCATACAGTATAATTATATGTATACTCTACATTTTATATGCTATGATACAGAGCATATAATATAGAACATATAGTATAGCATATATAACATATGTGAAAAATATTATATGTAATATTTATAATAATCTATACATGATTAAATGTATTAAACAGATCATAATATATATAATATGACATAGTATATAATAGTATAACTCTTTTCATAGCATCACACGATGGGTTATAAGAACTTGCTAAAATAAGGTGTATTGTATTATCTTTATTATCGTATATTATCTTTTAATATAGATAATGCAGTGTGGTATACTATAATGCACTATGCTGTGATATGATATGCTACAACAAACTAGAACATGCTATTAGATATTACAATATGCTGCAGTATGCT